AGAAGTCACAGCTGCGATGGCTTGGGCATGCGTTGCGAATGCCTCCAGAAAGGAAGGCTAAGCAACTGTTTCTTGCAAATCTGACCGGTAGTGGAACCAGGGGACAGTCAAGGTTAACCTGATGCAAATATATGGAAGGAGTCTGTTCCAGGCTCCAGTTGTCTTCTGCCGAAGCTCAGACTCTGACACAGGATCGGGAACTTTGGAAGCACTGTCTGACGCGTCTGCCACCGCGACCCGAAAGGAGAACCGGCGATGGAAGATGAAGATGTCGCCTAGACGAGATAAATGGCATGAAACAGATAGTTGATAAATAAGGTAATATATGCAGTGACTAGAATAAATATGGAAAATAAAGTAGATGAGCTTTCGCCTTTGCCATTCAACATTTTTCTCGACTTTCCACTCTGAAACAGTACTGAGCCTGTCAAAGGCAAAAGTGATGTTTTGTTGATTTGGACCACGAAGATGGTTTTACCGTAGTGAGTAATACGGGTAGCGCAATACACTGCAGAACTCGTGTTTTTTCTTAATATCTGGAAGTCTGAAGTTATGAGCAACTTCAGGATGTTTAGCGATCCAGGTATCTGAGCTCCTTCATCCTCAGCGATGACTTTATGCAGCCAGAGTTAAACCAGAGGATTTCCTAACCTTGAGCGCTTTCGAAAACATGTTGAACATTTGAGCTGAGAAGGGATTGGTTTCCCCACGAACAAACATCTGTACTCTTACTTTCAGAGATCAGTGTTGTTGTGCGGCATGGAGACAGTTATTCTAACGAAAGGCTAAGAACAAAGATTTATCTGCGTATACAAGCGTTAGATTTCACGCATAATGACGGCTGAATGACAGGACCACGTATTCTCTTCCGGGTACAGGTGACCTCAGTGGAACAGGAGATTAGGAAAAATAGGTTAGCCATGTTAGACAAACTGATTTAGCATGCATCATTTACTCTAGCCCATGAGTGTTTTGCGTGGGAGCCAAAAAACACGACAGACGTCGATCACGAGGATAGCAGGCAACACAGAGGAACAAGATAGAGGTAGATATGTTTTTGAAGATGAATTTTTCCTTCAGTGATAGTGTAACCGGTGCCATGTGACAAAAGTTTTGAAAAACTGCAAATGCAGAAACCAGTAACGTCCCGTCTATGCAAAAGGCTCAAGGTGATCTCAAAAACCAAGCAAGAACAAACGACCGGCCGAAGACTCTAGGAAGCGTCAAGAACGATTTGGGACAATTTACTCGAAGGTTTCTGGTGTCTAGATTCAGGTTTTCTTCTGCGAAGGTTCAGATGCTGGCACAGGACCAGCCACATTAAAGACATTGCCCGAAACTGGAATGGTCAGAAGCCATCGAACCATACTATAGTGCAGCTGGTTCTCTAGATTAAGAAAGAAGTCACGGCCAGCTGCAATGATCTGGACACGTATGTGAATGGTTCAAGATAAGAAAGTGAAACAGCTACAGTAGGTTCGACCGACCGCCGAAAATCATTGTCACTCGAGAGTTCCCGCCCCAGGCTCGAGTCATGTTCAAACGCTGGCACAAGATCGGCAAGGTTGAAGACAACGGGCCAGCCTCAGCAATTAGAGAAGCTAAGAAGTCATCGAAACTGACTGATTCACCTTTACCGTGTTCGACGAAAGGGACAACAGTAGAATAAGATGACACAAATTGTGATTCTGGTCCGATTAGGCAGAGAAGTCGTCCTCTGGAATACAGAAGCTGATTATGAAGGGGAGCCATTTGCGGGTAAATCATATTAGAGACAAGGTATGTGGTAGGTTACCCTCGTGTCTTATGTAGTCACTGAGGACACAAGCTGCCGGTCTTTCATAACTTAACGTTTATAACTCCATTTTGGCCTTGCACAGAAACATTTGCAAGGAACTTACCTAGTGGTAGCCGTCCTCGCTTATCGGACTGTGTATAGAGGCAGAAATTTAAGGCGATCCATGCGATTTACCCTGATATGGAGGAGTGGCTGTGCGACGTTGATACGCGACGGTATACAAACGATTTAACAGCTGCTTTGAACCACGGATCGGGAAGTGAAGACTATTAGCTGTTACTCAAACAAGCAATCAATCAATACCTCCTTCCATATCCGTCTTGACCTTTGCCATGTTGGCCAATTCATGTGTAAAGAGCAATCCCATTAACTGCGAGAGAGGAAAAGAGTCAAAATGGATCTTACGCGTTTTTGGTCATTCTCTGCCAAAAATTGGTGTCCACGATTTGCGTCCATTCAAGGGATACTGCAGCTGAAGAACGGCAGGAAATCCGGTCCACTGCATTATCGCATGAGCTACGAAAGCACATGCTGTATGATCTTATAGAACTAGTATTCGTCCGCCGCTGTACGAAAAACGCAAAAATATACGCACATTCATCGAGGTGCCTCTCGGCGATAAACCTGCGAGTCAAGAGCACGGTTGCGATGTAGATATCAGTTATTTTGCATGTTGAGTGCGAATGAGCACTTTCTGTAGACTAGTAAATTAGTGACTACAAATTTCATCTGCTATGTCCGTTTTCATACTAGTTTCATTTTGTTGTAATGTCCGAAACCGTTAAAAAATTCTGACCCTTTACCGGTACTTGTCCAGACGGTCGGTGTTGCAGCGTACTTTCATGATGGTCAATTTATTAACTTATTAAAATTATTGTTTTTTAGTGCAACTAATCTTCAGCAGCAGTACTCTTCGAAGTACGTCGCAGTCATCACAACGACGGGGGTTTCGGCAGTGGATAGATAGGATATGCTTTTGGTGGTGAAAGATTACCAAAATCAACCAAAAACGAATCCATGGCGTAGTTTTAATAGTGGGAACAGTCATCAATGCGGCAAGAACGAAAATGTTCTCACAAATGATTCAGAAATGCTTGAGATACCATCTGACGTGTCTGTCTCCTCAACTGAAGAGGATTGACGGTCATCACAATTGACCAGATGACTGATTGCGACTTGTGCCTTCGCCCTGATTCACAATTAATATTTAAAAATTTTTTTTTGATATTACAGTTGTGGCTTATAAGTAAATGAGACTGGAAGCCACACAGATCATCATAGCTTTCAAGGTACCGTTTTGTTGGGAACAACATGAGATTTTTCCTCTTGGCTCATCACTTGATAACTGTTGCCGAAGTAGGCCCTTCTTACCAGCACAGTTCCTGCAAGGCCGTTGGTCATGAAGGTTATGGAAGGATATCACCTAAACAAGAACAGTCAAAACTGTACTTCATTGGAGTCTATGTTACGCTGTGCCGTTTCCGAGATTTCACATTTGTCCGTTTTTATATGAGACGATCTGTCAAGACGGTATAAAAAAACTTCAGGATATGATCCGCAGCAGTCTTTTCATTAGAAGAGACCCGAAATGAATGTCATGGTCTTACGGGATTGTTACGGATATACAGACGTGGATGTCTCGTTGCCATAGGACTATGATAAAAACAGATTTGATAAAAGTAAAGTCGTTACGATGAAATTATGGTCCATAATAGACCGAGCAGGGATTAACGTCAACTGCTTATATTAATAGCTCAGGTCCTAATTTTGCTCAAGGTCATATCATTGTTCACACATCTGCTGGCCTGAGTGAACAGAGTTTCTCTGATCGTTCCAAATCTACGGCTCTTATGGACACAAATTGCGCTCATGTGCTGCTAATCTGTTCAGTACGACAGTGTTGTACAACAGCAGATCTGTTCTTACACTCATACATTCAACCCAGTTCCCTACAGCAAAAATCTGTTCTGGTATTAGTAAACAAGGAAAGGTTATGAATTGAGCCGGCTTTTCCTACGGAATCGCATTAAACTCATCGTTCGCTGACTACGTCAAGCAAGCATTTACGGCTTCTGTAACTAACACAAAACCTCCTCAGCCGCGCTCTGTCACACTCGCACTTTAGTCGTTACCTCTCCATATTATGCAAGCTCAGAAGAACATACATACAGAACTTTTCAACCGATGCTTCAAAAAAATGATGCACCATTCATCAAAGTTTTAATAGAGCACAGTAACAAATCTGCCATCCATGCGCTGTATAGCGAGGCTAAAGACAAAGGACAAGAAGTGATCAGTAATCAAGTTGAGCTGCAAGGGAATTAGCTGTCCAGTACTATATCGCCGAGGTAGTTCCGTTCTGGTGAAAACTTAAGTGTCCCGTTGTAGATCTTCGTCTCGCCCTGCTTGTCGTTACAGGTATGAAAGATCTGCAGGTAAGGATCCGGCGGATTTGTCAATCCCGGTAACCAGTCCACGTCCCTAGCACAGCCTTTTATGTCGAATTCACCAAATTGCTGCGCGTTGGAAAATCTGTTCAAAAAATACAAATTAGCATTATAACAGGACAACCAGAAATATAACATAGATTTAAAAAATGAAGCTCAGAAATCCCTTATTATGACAGCAACTGGTATCAAACTCTTTTAAGTTTGATGTTACTTTACCACCTTTGCAGCTGTAGAAAATATCAAAGATTTTATTTTTGGCTCATGAAAAGATATTACTAATAGTTTATAAGCTCCTATGCATCCGTAAGAGTGCCGATACGTACAGCAGCGTAATAACCTGCTGTACACGGGCGTCCCTCCATCGTCATATTAGTGTAAATCTTAGACAGGACACCTATAACCATGAAACACGATAAAAAAGAAATGAGGTTTATTTTATTTACAACGATGCGACCAAATTGACATCAGTCATCATCAATACCCATTCCCTGTTGTCCTTCCAGTAGATTCGAACCTGACACCTGGAGTTCAGAGCCGACCTCGGTGCCACTGCATCATTACACCCACACATCACTGCTATGATTTTTGTAGGCAACATCGGCCTCCATAATACGAGCTGACGGTACGGGTTCTGCGATGGCAGAACATCGCTAAGAATCGTGCCATCCAATGGCAATCCAGAAAGAGGGTTCAAATACTACGAACACTTTCGAAAAATGAAGTCTAACTGTCTTCAGATATTTAAGTTGTTCACAGATCAACAACTTGCTGCTCACTACCTAGGTGATCGCTACGAAGTAACGCGGAGTCAGTTATTTGCTGGAAAAATTTAGCTTTAGTAGAAATATTGCTTTTTAAGCATTCAGACGAGATGTTTCAGAGTTTGAGGCTGACCTCGTCCGCTGTACCGTCATTCCCGTCTTTACACAGTGGCATAATGTTCAAAGTGCACAAGCTAGTGGATAAACCACTGTATTGCTAGTTATTAAGTACAAACTGTATTTCACCGTCGACTGTGCAATATTTCTTCTAAAGAGTCGAATGTCACCAGATATTGTTATTTCGCATAATTAATGCTGCTCTTAGTCAAGTAGGTAGGTTCATCTGCTGTGGATATGTTTATTGGCGCACTGTTCTTCACCTAAATTGAGTTCAAGGTGATGTGTTGCACTGCTTGTTTCTCAGACACCCTGGATATTAAGATACCACATTAAATATCTGTTATCTGATGAATAAAATTAACTGTTTAACTGGTCCTGTAAGCATCTCAGGGCAAAGGCAGTAGTAACATAGCGGTGCTCGGACTTGGTCCGATTTAAGTTATGTGCTTGGTACGTTCTTCATTCCCCTTTGTGCACTGCTGAACTCTAGGTCATGTCGTCAACAAGAGATACCTTCATAACCTTGCATTTCATAACCTTCAAGTGAAGGGAAAAATTTTTCTGTATTTCTTTAATAAACTTAGCGGGATTGAGCACCGGTTTCCCATCGATGAGAGCGGAATGGTATGTAAACTGGTCAGGCATCTAACTGTTAGATCGAAACTATGCAAAACTATCGACAGAAGAATAGGAGGTTTTAGACATGCTGAAGTACTGCACAAATCAGGCAGAATGCGGAACAGCAGTTTCTGTACAGAGGTATTTCTATTACGTTTCCTCATGACTAGTCATTTAAAATACCATACACAAGATTACCCCATGAGGTCGTCCGGATCGAACCAGTTGAACATCCAGTAGCTATCCTTATCGTATAATTTAAGTTCTGCCGAATTAGCGGCTGCCGGGTTCTTCTTGCACGTCAGATGGCCGGAAACAATAACACATCGTTCATCGGCTGATGCCGGTAGCATGAAAATGGTGCAGGAAGCAACGAGGGCAATGAGACAGTAATGACGACACATTTCGATGAAAATAGACAGTCGACAGAAGGTTGATGGGGATTTGCTGCAATTTCAAGCTGAAGGCAGTGTTTGTGTTGGCCTGTTTACATTTGGCATGTCGGTCACGAAACCAGAATGTTGACACCTGACGCATGATTCAGATCGATGATCTTGACGCCCGCTCAGGAGCAGGGAAGAAAATTCTAATAGATAAAATCATCTAGTGGGATTTCGTTACAATTTGACCTATTTGGTTCAGTCTGACGAGGAAGGTATTCGCGTAGGCAAACATGAGATACTGCAAACATTCAGAAAACAGAACAAGTAACATTGTCTGTTAGTGCATAGCCCATCGGGCAAACAGTTAAATTAGTTCTATTTCTAATCAGATACCCACCTAAATCAGCATAGTCTACAGCACAGTCACATGACCAACAAACTTGTTTCTTCAAAAAATACTGAAACAAGTTTCAAGTAAACAGTGCATATTTAGAATGGTCATATTTAATTATATAGTGATTCGTCACTAAGTTGTCAAAGTTTATTTTTTGCATGCTTTTTACCACATAGCAGACAAGACGAAAAGATACCTGCTTATCAAAAAACGTTAAGAGAGCGTCCGGTCTCACTCTGCAGCTTTACAATATTATTATTAGTGTACTTTAAAACTGTTGGCTACTATTTAAATTTATCTCTGCAAAGTAATTTAAAGAATACAAAATGAATAAAATTTACAAAAGTCAATTAACACCAGTTAAGTAGTAAACTTTATAATATTTTGGCTATAGAGAATAAAAAAGGAAATATACACAGGGGCATTCTGAAATGGAATTAATATGCAGTAGTTAGTTAGCTAAGTTCCGAAGGGATCGAGTTTTTTGAGTTTCTGTATCTCATTATTTCATGCTTTTCTCTACCCGTGTGGGTGTGAACAAGGGTTTGTTTCTTTCATCGGGTTATAGTATAGAGCATCGACTCCTAATCTTCTACATTCAATTCGCGTTCGGATCGACTGAGTCTAACAATTTTTTGTAATCGACGAAGATATTGCAATAAAACTAATTCTCTCTAGTAATATCGAAGGAAAATTGATTGATAATAAATTTGATTTGATCAAATTCACTCAGAAACCATGTGAATATGCATTCGTGTTATGATACCAAAACATCCCCTGTTTATGATTATATAATACATACTGTAGGACGTTTTGTACAAATCGAACGTAATCGTCTTATCGAACGTAATCGTCTTCCTGCAAAGTAGGATTTCGTAAAGAAGTCAGTAAAACATTTGGGATAATTCCGTAATCTTTCATTTGTCATTAAAAACCCTACTGATCATTACCATACCACCATCGTTCCGTCGTATGCAGTAATCAAAATGCCGCTGCGCTTCACCGATGATCCCAGCTCGGAGAAGCTGCATTAATTATCTTAGCGATGGTGCA